CTTAGGCACCAGTCTCTCCTGAAACTCTCCTGAAACCATTATGCCCCCCCTCAGACAAAGAGCTAAGCTCTTGTCTGTGTCAACATGAAGACATTCTTCTCTTTTAGCATGGGCTGCTTACCAACTTTGGTAAAAATAATAGAGGAAGGTGGCCCTCCCTGGTGGCGCAGCGGGTTAAAGCACAACACTAAGAAGTTAAAGCCGCTTCAGCATGAGTTCAATCCCCACCTGCCCCGGAGGTGACCACATGGTGTGGCAGACCTCTCCTGACCCACCCGCTGCTCCCCTCAGCAGTGTTCTTCGTCGGTCAGCCTGTTCTGCTCCCCACTCTGTCTCTGGTGAATCCTCTCACCCTCCACATCTCTGGCCTGTACCCCAGTTCTGTATGAATAAATAAATAAATCTTTAAAAAAAAATAATAGAGGAAGGGCAGTGATTTGCTAAAGAGGTATTTTCAAAGTCAGTGATAGTTTTTTTCAATTAGCACAGGTCTCCACAGCTCCCTCTGTGGGGACAGTATGTGAAGGACTTGGTGTACCCTCAGGAATAGGCAGGAGACAGAAGCTTCCTCATGACAGCTTTCAGCACTGGAAACGTGACTGTGGAAGATCTGATCAGGGCAAAGACCTGTTACTCTTTTGATGTGCCATTCTGTTGGGTTCACTTCTTTTAAGTAGTCTCATCTGTGAACTGGGAAGAATAATGGCTGCTAATTCATATAGCAGATGACCATTACTTGTGCTCATAGAGACATCAGAATACTTTGAACACATGCACAAACCTCTCAGGTCAGATTATTGAAGTCAAACCAAGGATGTCACTGAGCAGGCCAGTCCTCCAGCCATGACCTTGGTCCCTAATTGTAGACCGGCTGTGGACCATCATCATTGTCTGGGTGGGCTCCAATCATCCTCTGGTGTCTGGGCTTCCACAGGCGGAGAACATCTTCTCCTTCTACATACTCAATTTGGCCAAGGTCGGAAACCCCCTCATTTGCATGGCTAGGCATCTGATACTTCTACAATGCAACTTTCCTTATTATGATGACTGAAATTTTAGCTTCCTGACTCCTATGAAGCTCTTTCTCTGCACCATTGAATCCTCTCAGCACCATACACCCTGAGTACTGCCTGTCCATCCTTGATCAAGCTGATATTGTTGCCACCAACTGAGTTGACAGTGGCATCATGTGTGCCCAGCTGGTGTTCTTGCACCTCACCATTTATCAAAGGTAACTCTGAACTGCCTCAATGACTTGATTTTGCCACTATCCCATGGCTGGTTCTTCTGTTTGTGATTCCAGGTGGGTCCACTTTGACCTTGGTGGTCATGGTCCAGTGTGTCTTGGTGGAAATGGCTTTCCAGGCTGGGTGTGTATGGTCATCCCTCCCAGGTCCTGATTTTTCTTCTCTGCTTCCTGCCACTTGGCACCCTTATTCATATAACTCTGGAGAGAGGACAGTGTAGCTTGCCTTGTTTCGCTGGACATTCTCCCACAAGGGCATGGGTAATTTTGGGTGCTTGATTTGGAAAATGTTTTCTTTCTCTTCTCTGATTGTATTAAGGTTTTTTCTGTTGAAGGCTTTGTTTTATCTCGATGTGGTGGATGGCAGAACCCATGTAAAGAGAACAGGCTTGGGGGTTTCTAGGGTGACGTTCACCCTGCCCTGTAATATGTTTACTATGCATGGAGAGTGGTGGAGAGCAGAGCAAGCAACTCTCAGAGGTATCTAAAATGTTCATTTACTTGTGGGTTTTATTAATTAGGGTAGTTTTATTAACTAGAATGGCAAGGCACTAAAGCCCATCAGATTTGGGACAAAGAACACAGCTCAGGACAGAGTGAAGCCAAAAGGTCACTTCAAAAAGGTTCAGTCACTGCAGAACACAGGGTTCATGCAGGGCAGGAATGTCAGAGTTGAAGGAAGAGTGGACTTCAGAGCAGTGAGTCAGCAAGGAGGACAGCTTTATCCATCACACATTCTCATTCCCGCTATCCCGGCAGCCTGTTGAGGTGGAGGAAAAGCACAGACTCTGTTTTTCTTTTCTAGGGTAACTTGTGCTTTTTATTCATGAAACTGAACAGTTTGAAGCTCTGTTTCAAAGGTGTATGTATTTTTGGTTCTCTTGTCTTGCTTATTAAACCCAAAGCTGAATAATGCCTGGACTTGTCTGGTTTTTGTTGTTGCTGCTCACTATTGTATACTCAGTATCTAGCACAAGTCCTGCAGAGATGGACTATTCAAATATCCTCGTTAACACAGGCAGAAGCAGAGGCTTGAAGAGTCAAAGGGATTTTTCTGAGACCACATCCCCAGTACCACTGCAAGTTAAACCAGAAGCCCACTGAGACTTCCCCACAGCTCTTGCCACATCACACATTATGGGAGGAACTCCCATGAAGAATCTTCATGTGTGCACAGGTAGTGAAAGAGATTCAGGGTTACAGAAACTCCTAGTTGCTCCAAATATGCATTTTCTTCTTTCCCATAATAATTCTGCTTCCAGCCTCTCCTTCTGCTGAATAGCACCCTGTGGCTAGATGCTGGGCAGTGCAGTGGGAGTGATTACCAGCTCCTTAGTCGGGCCTTTCTTGGGTTCTTTTCCTCTCAATGGAATGCTGATGTATTGGGGAGCTGGGTTGGACCCCCAAGGAAGAAGTCACCTGTCTGTGAAAGGGTAACAGCAAGTTGGAAAATCTCTGATGTCTGATTCTTGGAATCTCCAGTTCAGTCCCAGGAACTTGTCTCTTGTTTAAGTCACGGTGATAAAGAATTTCTTTCCAGAGTACCCCAAATCATGACATTTGAATCTATCTAAATACCTGCGTATCTCTTCCTTTAAACATATATCTATATTCAAAACATTGGTGATACTTGTGAGAGTTTTGCCAAAGAGGTAGGACTGGAGATAGAGGTAGAAACAAGCAAACAAAAGTCAAATGGAAGACATAGAAAAGGAAATTGATCCGATCATGTGGAGAGAAAAAAGTCCCAGGAAATGTCAACTGAGGAAGGTTACAAGATGTGATGGATCTTCTCGGTTTAGCTTCAGATCTCATTTCCATTTTCTTCATACTTTTGTATTCTGGGAGGAGACATCTCTGTACTCCCTCTCCCTGTGGATCCCAGGAGCTTTCAGTGAAAGGGAGACACTGACAGAAAGTGGAGGCAAAAGAAGGGGCTTTGAAGTTCTAGCTTCCTGGCTCTCAGCTGGCCAGGCTGCGAGCTAGCAGGAGCTGTGTTACTCTATCTGAGGACATATCCCTGCCTGGCGGTCCTCTTCTACTGCCGCAGCTGTGATGACAGCTACAGCCACAATCTCCTTCCCCTGGTCTTTCAAGCTCAGTAACATCAAGCCTTCCTGCTACTGCTTTCCTCAGGGCATAGTGGCCACCATCCCATGTGACATTCTTCAAACCTGGTCATTTTGATAAACTGTCCCTTAGTTAACTCTTCTCATCAATCATGCCTTTTGAACCTTATGTTTATTGCTGGAATCCTGAGGCACAGAAATGAAGAGGACTTCCAAATGGCCAGTAAAACAGATGATAGCATAACTTATGATACTTAAACACTGCTATACAAGCATGTAACTTATCTTGCTCCCCAATCAGGAATTAGTAATGATGGCAGCAAATTTGGATGCTTGGGATGGAAGATTACTAGTGAGAAGGTCCGACACAGAGGAATGGGTCCTTTACTGGAGTAAAGGACTTTTCCTTTACTCTTTTAGACCTCCACGGTCGAGGCTGCCAGCCTCCAAGGCACCTAGAGGAAACAGCTTCCTTTCAGACTTTGCTGCTGGAGCCCGGCCCGATGGAGTGAATGTGGATGGGTACTGAGAGGAAAAACTCAGTGGTGGCTTTGGAAATAAATAATTGATAAATATGCTTTTTAGCTATCCTTCCTGCTGGAGGTGATGGGCTGACCTGTGTTGAAGGGAAGATGCTTCTGGGACTTATAGTCATGTGGGACATTTGTCCTCTGCAGGAACAGGAAGAGATCTGGTGCTAGAGCAAATCTGGAGGCCTCTTGCCATCTCCAGGCTGGGGGCTTGCTGACAAGAGAAACTACAGTTTTTTATTACGAGCCCTTTAGTGATATTTCTAAGATTGGATTGAATTTCTAATATTGGTAAGGATTCTTTTATTTCTTAATTTGCCCACCCCTATCCTTTCTGGCTCCCTTCCTGAAAGTTGTAGTCTTTTGCTGTCAGTTCTGTATCTGGCAGCAATATCAAGTAATATGAGACTGAACTGGGAGGCTTTTTAAAAAATTGAATTAAAAAATGTTTGAAAAATTGAAAAAAAATGAAAGCCCACCACCTTTGCTAGGTGATTCACACCCACCATGGTCTGGCCCAAACCTTTTCTTTTTGTGGCAGTCCAGCATGCAGGTTAAAGTTTCTTTCCATCTGACACAGAAATGTGTCACATGGCAAAAAACTTTCTGAATCCTATTCACCAGAGTAACAACTTATTTTAATTAGTCTAATTAAAAAAACAAACAAACTTATGATTATAGTTTTTATCAGTGAGGATTTATTTCTACTTTTTAATTTTTCAATATTAACAACAGGGCCAAATGAATTTAGGGTATGACAGAAAATTTGGTATGCTCAGACTGGGAAATTAAAATAACTCGTAATTTGCTAGAAATTCTAATGAAAACATGGATAATGTACAAGCAGATGAAAAATATAAGTAAATGCAAACTTCAAGAAAGAGGTAAGTTAAGATAAAAACATTTAGCAGAAATGAAGAATGCCTTTGATGGGCTTATAGACTGTAGATAGGCTTTGAAAGACTCAGTGAACCTCAAGACATGTCAATATAGACTTGCCAGAAAAGTGAAGATCAAAAATAGACTGGAAAAAATGTATCAGAGCTGTGTGTGTTAAAATTGTAACATTATGTAGTGGGGATATCAGAAGAGGAAAGAGAATGAAACAAGCTCACTCTCAAAGCTGCATCTATGTGACTGAGGCAGAGTCCTGAATCAGGAGGACAGCTGACTGACTCCTGACATCTCTAGGGTCTCCTGGGGAAAGCTACCTTCATTTTCATCTACCTCGGGAATGTCCTGGAAAGCCCTCTTGAGAATCAATTTGAATGTCTGCCGCTGCCATTGCCTTCGATGCCTAAAGATGCCGATGAAGAAGTAAATGAAGGGGTTGGCGCAGCTGTTGACAGAGGTCAGGAAAAGGGCAACCATATAGAAGTGTCTGGAGTACACACTAATCCAGATTATGAGGAAATAGTAAATGCCAAAGGGCAGGCCGCAGAGGAGGAAGACCAGCACTGTGAGGATGATGGTCATGTACAGTCTAGTCAGCTGGACCCGCTGGGAGCCACAGAACAACCTGGACACCAGGGCCAGGCTGGACCCCGAGAGAATCACAAATAAGAAAATCAGCCATGCCGCAGTAATAAAATCAAATACTTTGCACCACACATCATCAAAATCTCCAAATAGCAAGGCACAGAACTTCCCTTCCAGGGTGCTCAGCAGCAGGGACAGGGCCCAGATCAGGGCACACACAACAGCTGACGTGTGTCTGGGGCGGTGGCAGCGGTGCCAGATGGGGCACAGGACAGACAGGCAGCGCTCGGTGCTGATGGCGCTGAGAATACCCAGGCCTGCAATGTAGCTGAAGTTTGATGCTGTAATCAAAACATCAGGAATGGCAATTTTGATGTCCTGAACGTACTCTATGATTTCTTTCAGGATCTCTATAATCGCTAAGGAGAGAAGGAGGATGTCGGCACCTGCCAGGTTGAGGACGTAGATGGAGAAGGCGTTTTTCTGCATGCTGAAGCCCAGGAGCCAAAGCACAACAGTGTTTCCTGCCAGCCCAACCAGAGTAATGATGAAATCCAGAAAAACCAGGACCAGGGCCACTGTATCCATAGCTTCAGGAAGGGCCTGGTGACTTGCATTTAATGGTGTCAGTGCGGTATCCCAGGCGGAGACAGTTGTATCCATGTTCAGAAACGCTCCCCTTGTAGCCCTAGGAACACAGACAAGACTCGATCACTTGCTGCCTGACCACTGATCTCAGGGCCACTCTGAGGGTGGAAACAGCTGTCCCTATTACAAGGGAGGGTAATGGAGTCTTGCCTAGATTAAGACACTTCCTGAAGGCTATGTAGCCTTGGCATGTGGTAACCTTCATTCAAATCCAGTTTATGCTGACTCTAAAGCCTGGACTATCTCCACGACAACAAATGCCTTCTGCTGACAGGAGATTCTTCTGTGGTCTAAACGTCTACTCTCGCCATCCTAGGTCATGCCATGTTCCCTAAGGCAAGAGGAGAAAAGTCTGGGTAGGACTATGCGATATGGCTGCTGGACTCTGAGCTCAGCATTTCTTCAACTCTGAGACTGAGGTTTCCTCTTAGAGGCATGAAGTCAGAAGCTCTAGACATGACCTATGGGCTGTTAATTGTCCACCCAATAGGGAGAAAGGAGATTATGATTTAGGACCATGAATAACATAGATATGACCTCATGTTATTATAGACGTGACTATGGCTGGTCTTGTCAGGCTAGAGATGGCCCAGAGTGTCAGCTTTATGGTGACAGGAGCTGCTTTTACACTCTTCAATAGAGTGTCTATTGCCAGACTCTGTGTGAGGGACAGTGTGGGGAGTCAAGAAATATTTAATCAGAAAATGAATGAATGACTGGAAGCCTAAATGTAGTTTGGGTTTAATGGAATAACATTTCAAATGTTAGTCACCAGAAAAAACACCTATAAATAATATGACAAAGTCATTCCTCATTATTTCCTTTGTGGAAATCTCTACATGAGAGACACCATTATGCATGAATAACTGGTGAAGTTTCCTGTGAATCTGCATTCGTGGAGGGCCAGCGTGTAGTGCAAGGGAGTTCTTCAAGGGATTAATAACACAATTTGGTGAGAGGATTTGGTGCTTTTCTAAGTTTCTCTGCAGTTAGAGGAGAAGGAGAAAAGGAGAGAAAGAAGTAGCCAAAAGGCTGAGAGGCGTAAGACATGGGAACAGCTAAGGGAGATCAGTGAATGATTAGTAATGAGCTGTAAAGTATAAAGTCACCATCCTCTCTCCTTCCATTATATGGAATGCCATTTGCTTTGTTGTTAAGCATTTGTGAGGTGGTATCTTTGAGTTAGGGGTGGGAAATAGAAAAACTGCCTGTTTCCACACTGTGTAGAGCTTGGGATGAAAACACAGATGCTCATGTGAATTCCAATCTGGAAAAGAAGGACTGACACATCTGTGTGGAGACTAGTAGCTGGTCCAGAGCTCTTTAGGTGTAATCTCTTCATCTTCTTAAGACCCCAGTGAGTAAGAACTTTCCCATGTGCAGGTAAGGACACTACAGTGCTCGGAGGAGAGTGACACGTGCCAGGTCTCATGCAGACGGTGGTGGCACCTGGCTTTGGGCCCACACGTCTGTGGGAGTCCTGTCCTCAGCCAGCCCCACAGCCCCACTGCCCGGGTGGAGTGTCAGCTCTTCACAGAAAGGGGGGAGAAGGAACCAGTAATGTTCCTACAAACCTCAAGGGGAATATGAAAATCGAGATTTTATTCTAGATGAAGCAAATTTCACCAGGTAAGAAAGACAAGACTGTGAAATAAGGAGAAAGGTGGGTAGGCTTAGAAGTCAACCAAGAGCCAGACTCAAAAGCATGAGTCCTTATTTTCTGTGTCAAGACAGTTGTTGCTTCAGACCCCAGGAGACTCACACAGTAGCGGCCCCTGAGTGGGAAGAGGACGTGTCCTCTCAGGCAGACGGGTCCATCCTGCGCCTTTTAGTTCCTGCAAGCCTGGTTGTTCTCCACCAGGCACCTGTGCTTTTCCTTCATGGAACAATCACAGTTTGCAGCTCTAATGTTCAGGCATTTCTTTTAATTTCTTTCCCTTATTAAGCTCAAAGCTCAGTAAGGACCAGAATTGCCTAGGTTTATTGACTGTTGCTCACTATTCATGTCCTCTACCACTACAAGTCTTGAGCCATCTATTAGAATATTCTCATTTAGGGCCTTTCCTGGTGGTGCAGGTTAGGATGCAGCACTGCAGGCTAGTCGCAGCTGCTACAATGTGAGTTCAATCCCCTGCCCAGAGGTGATTCACACGGCACAGCAGACCTCTCCTGACCCGCCCACTGCTCCCCTCAGCAGTGTACTTCGTCCATTTACCTGTTCTGCTCCCCTCTCTGTCTCTGGTGAATCCTCTTATCACCCCTGCTCTGCTGGCCTGTACCCCAGTTCTGTGTGCATAAATAAATAAATCTTAAAAAAAGTCAAGTATTCTTAAAAAAAAAGATATCCTCATTTAACAAAGGAAGAAATTGGGGATTAAAGAGTCAAAGAAATTTGCCTGTGATCCCATTAGCTATAGAAATTCCAGTAACAGCTCTGTCACCGGGAGCTCTGTCTGTGCCTTCCTGCTGTTCTCTCCTCATCATTCATTCTGAGGGGCTACTTTAAACATTTCCATGTGAGCACAGGGAACTGCTACCCAAGGACTGCAGAGGCTATTAGTTGCACCCTTCTCCATTCTTTTCCTCTCAAACGCTCAGCCACAGACTTCAGAGAAAAAGACCCCATTTCCCAGGTTTCGTGTTTATACTACAGGGCTCCATGAAGTTGGCCCAGCCAGTGGGAGGCAAACAGATGTGAGGCACTAGTTTCTTGTCCTCTACCTTCTTTCTCTTTCCTTGGGGAGCTTGCTGATGTGTGTGTGGGGGGGCGTAGCATCATAAGGGTGAGGTCACCTCTCTGGGTAAGGGCAACAGTGAGTTGCAAGAACTTTGTAATCTGATCCTTGGGGTCACAAGCCCAGTCTTAGTAATTTTTCTCTTGGCTAAGTCATTGTCATAATGGATTTCTTTCTAGATTAGCAAAAATCATCAGCTTAAAATATTTCTATTTACTTTTGTATCTCCCACCATTAAAAACAAAAGCCACATTCCATTCTCACGGCATTTATAATACACCGAGGGGTTGAAGTGACTAGATTAAAATGTGTTAACAAATATATTCAAACAATATAGGAAGATCGTATGCAGGACAATGAGGAGAGATGAGAAGGTGATCCAGTTACATGGAGAAAGAGAAAGTCCCGAGACACCAGCTGTAAGGAGGCAAGAGAAAGAGATGGATCTTTTCCATTTGCCATTAGGTCACATTTCCATCTTCTGTACCCTCCTGTACCCAGATGTCTCTGTGCCTTGTGGACAGGCTTCCTCTCCCTTGGGCCCCCGGGGTGCTTTCAGTGAAAGGGAGACACTGACAGCAGCTGGAGGTAGGAGGAGAGTGACTGAAATTTTAATTTCCTGGCTCTCTCCCTGCCAGGCTGTGAATGGCAGAGACAGTTACTCTACCTAAGGACGTCACCCCTGTCACCTGGGCCCCTCCTACAGCCACCGTTATGATAGCCACAGCCCCAGCCCTCTTGAGTTCTGCTCATTTTTGCCCCTGTCTTTCAA